CTTGAGCTCAACGTGAAATTTTACATACATCAAATAATAAACAGTTATTACTCAATGTATAATCACTGTTGTCCCTTCAAAATGATTTTAAAGAGAATAAAAATCCAGACTTATAACAAATCACCTTCTGCAAATTGAAATGTTATGAATCTATATACATTTAAGATTTACAGGTAAATTAGCAGATTTAATAATTATAAATTTTGGAAGAACCAATGAGTTATTATTATCGATATCTATCCTTATTAACTTAAATTCATAATATGAAAGAGGATGTTAATTTTTCATCATAAAAAGCGATATATTAGAGTTCCCTTCAAAATATCAAGAAATATTTGACAAACACCAAATTCATTTAGCTTAAAAGTGAAATATTTCAAAATCAAAGAGAGATTAATATTCTTTGCATACCAAAAATAATGAATAGAGATTCCATTATTTAAAAACTCTACCAAAAAAAGAAGCTGAAGTAATCAAAATAATTTAATACTTTTCAACTTTCCTAATACTGGAAAATAAGGCACATTTACCTTGATTAATATTGTAAAATTCACTATTGAGGTAGTGATAACATTCCAACGAAAATAAATTTGCTGAATTAACAATTTTATTAATAGACCAACAAATTAAATCAGAACATGAAGACAGATTTTTATAAGAATTTCAAATTTTGGCCCATTAGAACTTAAACTTCTAACAAAATTAACAGGACAATAAACTATTTGTCAACATAGATATATTGAAAAAAAATTGATTATATATTTTCCATTAGAATAGTCCCTTTAAATTAAGCCCATCCAAACTTGCGTTCTATTGAAGGATTTAGACTTATGATTGTTTTGTAAAACTAATTGTACTCATGAAATTAATTCCTCTTAAAATGGGTTTGTTAGCAAGATGACATTACGCCATAAAGAAAAAAGTTAAAATTAGAATTAATCACCTCAGTTAGTGATCTTCTTTGACTTATAATGTGGATATAATAAGTATTCTAGCTCAAAGATTTAGATTTTCTTGAAAAAATGTATGATTCATTGTATATCGTTGATCCCATAGATAAAAGAAAATTATTATCATTAATGTGTGGATGATGTTTTGATGGATTATTGAATTGGTGCATTAGGCTAAAATTAACATAAAATTTACATGTTTATATAAAGAAGTAATATTAAGTTTGGTTATTACTATGCATTTTATAAAGGGATGATTAAGGATCATCAAAAGCATTTAATAAATCTGAAGTAAGTACTATTTATAATTTTTATTGAGGAGCTTTAGCACACAAATATTGTAATGAAGTGGATAATTTATTGAATTTAGAAATAAAGATTTTTACTGAAATTATTATTACTGAATTTACGATTTTTGTTATTAATTTATAAAGGTGTTTATCAATTTTATTATTTTATTGTTTTTTATCATATCCCAAATCTAAAAAATTAGCCTAAATAAGAGTTGTATGTTTTGGCTACTTAATCACTTATTACTATTATTTTTATTGAGGAGGCTATTAGAAAATAGTTGATTTGGTTGTTGAATAAACTCCTGAAAATCTTTGAACACCTTAATATAAAATAAATAGTAGCAGTTTTGGGATTATTTTGATAAACAATAAAAATACCAAAAATTTCAATTTCAAAGATCTAATTTAAAGTATTCTAACTAATTAATCTAGCTTTGAAGAACTATAAGTGCTTATATATAATTATATCATGGAACTTGATACTATTAGCTCTTATTCTTAATTATTAACAAATTGATAATCAATTTTGGCAATAATTACTAAATAATAATAATCTATTTTAGTTAAATATAAATCTAAATAGATTATTTCTATACCGAAAACAAAATATTAAAAATGTACCCTAGTGGTGGATGGGAGGATTTTTTTTTTAGTGTTTGAATGTATGGGTAGTATTATTACCTTAAAGAGGTTACAACC